TCTCTCTCTCTCTCTCTCTCTCTCTCTCTCTCTCTCTCTCTCTCACACACACACACACACACACACACACACTACCCCTTGGAAAATGCTGAGATAAAACATCCACCAAGCCATCCAAGTTTGCATAGTCAGCCTGAAGGGAACGTCGCAGTCAGACTCCACAGAGCCTTACTCTGCCATGTTAGTGTGATAAACCAAGACTAACCAGAGGAATGAGCTGGTTCCATCTCCAATCTCTGGACAGGGCTGAGGCCAATCCTGGGAAGGCTGGTGCGCCTGCCATTCAGGTGCAGGATCTTAGAATACCACTTTCCCAGCATTATAGAAATCTTAAAATCCTGTGTATTTCCAGCCTGCTGTACTCACTTCTGTATGTGTGTGGAGGGTATGCATGGGATTACCTCAGGTGTCATTCCTCTGGTGCTGTTGATACTTCCGTTAAGACAGTCTCACTAGCCTGAGAGTTACCGATTAGGCTGGCTGGTCATTGGACCTCAAGGATCCACCTATATCTAACCCAGATACTAGGATTATAAACGACCTCCAGCAGGTCTTTGTGTTTACATTGTTTCTGGGGACTTGTGCTGCCACACTTAACTTACTGAGCTACCTCTCCAGTCTCACTTCCAGGTGTTTTTTTTTTTTTTTTTTTCTTCTTTTTTTGAGATAGTCGCAAACCATAACCAAAGCTGGCCTGAGTTTCACTGGGAAGTCCAAAATTGCTGGAATTACCGGTGTGAGCAACCCTTGCCTGGCAATGCATGTTTTTCAAATGTGTTTATTGATGTGTCATTTAAGTATAACAAAACTCTAGGTTAAATTTTTTATTTTTATTTTTTCACGTACACCATGTGTGCTCCTGGTACCCACAGAGGCCGGAAAAGCATAGGATCCTCTTCAACTGGAGTTGCAAGCAGTTGTGAGCCCCCTATTACATGCTCGAAATCTTCACCTCAGCCCTCCATACCCATTTTTAATCATGTCTTTCAAAATTAAGGACTTTTTGTTCTGTTTCTTGCTGACTGACGATACCATTATCCCGCCTCCAGTTTTTAAATTCCAGGTCAACTTTTTTCGTAGGTCCTATCTGAGGATATCAGAAGTAAAACCTGAGGATATCAGAAGTAAAATCTCTGGGATTGCAAGCCCAGGACTCAAAGCCGCAGTCCATTAGGCAGTGGGATCCGCCCCTTAGCCAATCGGCAGGCCCCATCTGCCTTGGGGCGGGGCCGTCCTGGCGGCGCACCTGCGCAGAGAGCGCGCCCTTTGAGCCACCGTATCTCGCGCTGTCACGTGGTTGTCATGGCGGCTGTCGGGAAGCCGGTGCTGCTGGGACTCCGAGACGCGGCGGTCCAGGGCTGCCCCAAGGGGCCCGCCGCCTGGACCGCTAGCAAGCTGGGCGGCGTCCCGGTGAGCGTGGCCGCGAGGCCTTGGCGGGGCCCGTGGGGCGGCGTCCCGCGTGGGGAGAGGGTCCCGCGGGAGGGAGCGGGGTTGGGGCCCGGGGACTGAGTACCTGCTGCGCCCCCAGGACGCCCTGCCGGCCGTTACCGCTCCGGGGCCGCGGTGTGGCGGCTGCGCGCAGCCGCTCGCGCTCGTCGTGCAGGTGTACTGCCCGCTGGAAGGCTCCCCGTTCCACCGGCTTCTGCACGTGTTCGCCTGTGGCCGCCCGGGCTGCGGCGGCAGCGGCACGCGCTGGTAGGCGGGGAGGTCCCGTAGCCTAGCATAGTGGCTCGTCCCGGAGAGGGCGGGCTGGGTCGGATGAGACTGGGTGGAGCCGCACGTCGGGGGTGGAGCCCTCACGACATCTGTCTCGCCCCTAAGCTGGAAGGTGTTCCGCTCCCAGTGCCTGCAAGTGCCAGAGAAAGAGACTCTGAACTCCCAGGTAAAGCGACTCTGATGGGCACACTGTGTGTTTCTATAATTGGGAAATCTTTTCCAGCGTCTCGTTTAAGACAACCTTTCTTGCTCTGTTTTTGAGACACAGTCTACCCTCTGTAGCCCAAGCTGGCGTTCACTGCCAGAAAGTGGTTGGCCTAAATCCCTCCCTATTTCTGTGGTTAGCGCGATATAGCACCACCCACTATTTAAGACAGTTTTGTTTTTTTTTTTAAAGATTTATTTATTATGTATACAGCATGTATGACTGCAGGCCAGAAGAGGGCACCAGATCTCATTACAGATAGATGGTTGTGAGCCTCCATGTGGTTGCTGGGAATTGAACTCAGGGCCTCTGGAAGAGCAATCAGTGCTCTGAGCCTCTAGCCCGACAGTTTTTTAAAAGATTTATTTTGGAGGCTGGAGAGATGGTTCAACTGCTAAGATCACTTGTTGCTCTTCCAGAGGACCCAGGATCCATTTTCAGTTCTCATGTGGCTGCTTGAAATCATCTGTAACTCCAGTTTCAGGGGTTCCAATGTCTTTTTCTAGCCTCAGTGGCACCAGGAACACACACATACATTGCAGGCAAAACACCCATACACGTAAAATACATTTAAAAAAAAATTCTGGGCGGTGGTGGCACAATGCCTTTAATCCCAGCACTCGGGAGGCAGAGGCAGGCGGATCTCTGAGAGTTGGATGCCAGCCTGGGCTACAGAATGAGTTCTAGGACAGGCTCCAAAGCTACACAGAGAAACCCTGTCTCAAAAAACCAAAAACAAACAAAAAAACCCAAAAAATTCTGTTTAGTCCAGTGGTGGTGGTGCATGCCTTTAATCTTACCACTTACGAGGGAGAGGCAGGTGAATCTGAGTTTGAGGCCAGTCTGGTCTATCGAGTGAGTTCTAGGGCAGCCAAGGCAATTCAGAAACCATGTCTTGAAAAACAAAAACAAAACAAAAATCATTTGTTTATTTGTGTGTGTGTGTGTGTGTGTGTGTGTGTGTGTGTGTGTGTGTGTGTCTACCTGTGAAGTCCAGAAGAGGGTGTCAGATCCAGTCACAGGCATTTGAGAGCTACCTAGTGTAGGTGTTGTGCTGAGCCATCTCTCCAGGCCCCTAAGAAAACCTTTAAACCTGTTTTTTAAAGTGCAGTTGAATGAACTGTAGTCTTTCAGAATCGTCAAATCCTATTTTCTTACCATTTTGTGACATTTTTTAAAGACTTTATTTTCATTTACACATATATGAGTGTGGATGTGTGCATGCCAGTGCAAATCTGTGGAGACAGTCGATCTCCTGTGCAGCGTGATGTGGGTCCTGGGAATTGAACACAGGCCTTCTGGAAGAGCAGCCAGTGCTCTTAACAGCCAAGCTATCTCTCCAGGCCTTGTGACTTTTTTAGTTTACACTTGAGATACATAGTTTACTAATTTTTCTCATTTGAATGAATGTAGGGAAGTATACATATTCATGCATATGTGTGGCACATACATGGTTGTGTGTGAAGTAGAAAAATACTTTGATTCTATAAAACCAAGACATTTGTAAGCCTTTACTAGCTAAATTGATAGCCTGGGGAGAAGTCCTGCAGTGACTTCTGGAAGCGCATCTCAGAACTGGCCCATCTGCTAGGCTACCTCCTCAGGACACAGGTGAGTGGATGCTGCCCTTGTCACGGAGCCTGGCATGCTGTCTTTGCTCTACCTGTATTTTCAGAACAACTCACTTTGGCTCGTTCTCTCTCTCTCTCTCTCTCTCTCTCTCTCTCTCTCTCTCTCTCTCACACACACACACACACACACACACACACACACACACACACACACACCTCTCTGGTTTGTTTGGAGACAGGGTCTGGATCTATACCTTAGGTGAGCCTAGAAATCTGTGTCACCCAGACTGACATCAAACTCATGACCATCATCCTGCCTTAACCTCCCAGTGCTGATATGAGCCACCATGTCCAGCCTGCTTCATGGCATTGCTCTTTTTTCAAGGTTATGGCTCTCTTTTATGTGTACCTGACTAACTAATCCCTAAATACATCTAATCTAAAATCTTAGCTGTTAAGGATTCTGGGAAATGTAGTTTAAAGCGATTTTTTTTGGGGGGACACCATTTATTATAAATTAAAACTCGCCGGGCGGTGGTGGCGCACGCCTTTAATCCCAGCACTCGGGAGGCAGAGCCAGGTGGATCTCTGTGAGTTCGAGGCCAGCCTGGACTACAGAGTGAGTTCCAGGAAAGGCACAAAGCTACACAGAGAAACCCTGTCTCGAAAAACAAAAACAAAATTAAAACTCAGGGACAAATATTAAAGATAAAAACCTAAGATAATCATAAGTAATCACAAAAACACACTGCCTCCGGTCGCTTCCTGTCCCCAAAAGGCCCACGAAACCTTCTGACCTCGGCTCCTCTTCCCAGGGTCCTCTCTTTCTTGTGCCCATCAGTAAACTCTCTGATCTATTATGACTAGCTGAATGTGAACCCCCTCTTGAACCAACGCTCTATTCCAATGAGCACAGCACAGACAAAATTCCTGTAGTAGTAGTTCTTCCTGCTCTAGTCCCACACTACATGAAGCACAACTGAAAGATCATGGGGCAGACTGACCGAAGAAACCTTGACCTATGTGTACATAGCCGAGAAAGAGAAGACAGTTTGTAAGTCACCTCTTACGTGTTTGGGTTGTTGGTTGGTTGGTTTGGATTTATTTATTTAATTTATGTGGATCAGTGTTTGTCTGCATGAATATACATGCCCCACATGCACAGCTGGCGCCTTGGAGGGTAGAAAGTGGTATTTTACCCCCGGGACTGGAGTTAGAGATGGTTGAGCCATCCAAACCTGCGTCCGTCCTCTGGAAAAGCAACAAATGCTCTAACCACTAAGCCAGCTCTGCTGGTCCAATTTTGTTGTTTGTGTGTTTGTTTTGAGACAGGGTCTCACCCTGGAGCTCAGGCTGGCCTGGAACTCAGAGCTCTATCTGCTTCTGCCGCAAGAGTGCTTGGATTAAATGGATACCGCCCCATACCCAGTTAGATTAGAATCCAGGAAGTTGAATTGTAGTGTGCTGGGGGAAGGGGCTGATATGCAGGCTCCCTGGAAGGTACAGGGATGGGTGGTGAGGCTGAAGGGATAGAGGTGTGATTGGCCTGTGCTGATTGGCTGTTCTTCTAGAAACAGGGTGACGGCCTTGCAGCTGAGAACTGGTGTGAAGGCTCCCAGGACTGGGGCAGTGACAGTGAGGAGACACCGCCACCTCCACCGCCGCCCACCTCAGATTTGGGGACTGATTCTGATGGTGTCAGAGCTGTAGACTGGACTGCGCAGCTCCAGGCTCTCTGCCTGCAGGACGGTGCCCCAGCTCTTGCTCACCCTGTCCCTTCACGGGAAGGGCTGGCGGTCCATGCCGAAGTGCCACAGTTCCAGCCCTACTATATCTGTGTCGCCGAGGAGGAGGATTACGGGAACTCCGTGGGTCTGGAGCATGCCCGCAGCCTTCTGCAGGACTACCAGCAGAGAGAAGGTGTTGACATGGAACACCTGCTTTCCCTTTGGTGAGAACTTGCCACCAAGGTTGAGAGAGTCAGGCAAGAAGCTGCCACAGGGGGGTTCCTTTTGTCTTGGTACCTGTGGTGAGTTCTAGAGAGAAGGGATGTGACTGGGCTCTTTTGTTCTGCTCTCCTTGGATGAGAAGAGCAGACTCAGGCCAGGGCTATCTGTATCAACCAACCTGCATTCACTTTCTTTCTTTCTTTTTTTTTAAAGATTTTTTTATTTATTATGTACACAGAAGAGGGAGCCAGATCTCATTACAGGTGGTTGTGAGCCACCATGTGGGTGCTGGGAATTGAACTCAGGACCTCTGGAAGAACAGTCGGTGCTCTTAACCTCTGAGCCATCTCTCCAGCCCCTCTTTTTTTTTTTTTTTTTTTTAAATTTCATAATTAACTCAGTTTCACACATCAGCCACAGATTCCCCCATCCTCTCTCCTCCCACCCCCCAGTGTATTAACTCTCAGACTTGTAGCTGAGTGCCCTCAGGAACTGAACCCAGATGAGCACACAGGGGTTGGTGGTACTGGCTGCTTCTTTTTGTTCTATGGTGTGTTCATTTGTTTCTGTTTTGATTGACTGTGGGGCCTGCAACATGTTAAATGAGTGTTTTACCAATGAGCTGTGCCCGCAGCCTCTAGTCTCTTCCTTTTTCAACGGTTGTTTTTACATAGTGTATTTGTGTACATGCACACATGGAGTGCACGTGTGGAGGTCAGAGACAGAGGGGAATCTGCTATCTTCTACCAGCACGTGGGTTCTGGGGGAGGGAGGGAGCACCTTAACCCCCTGAGACATCTCTTGGACCATGTTTTGATTTTTTTGTTGTTTTGATTTTGAGACAGTCCCATGTAGATCGGGTTGGCTTTAAACTCTCTCTGTAGTCAAGGATGACCTTGAATTCCTGATCCTTCTGCCTCCACTTTGAGTGCTGAGTCAGGTTTTTTGCAGTGTTGGGGACCGAACCCAGGCTTTCCTGGTGGTAGGCAAGCGTTCTTCCAGCTGAGCTACATCCACAGCCCTCTTTCCTGATTTTGTTTTTTAAAATTCCTGACAAGGAATTTGTGTGTGCACCTGTGTTTATGAGTGCAGGTGTGCACATGCTGCCACAGTCCGTGTGTGA